TACTTAACATTAGATAGTTTATATTCCTAAATCTGACAGTCAACTTTGTATTAATTTTATTGTGAATGACATGGTTTTGGGGAGGGAATATTTATCTGATTTATTTGTTAGCCAAATAAAGACTTCTAATTACAAAGGGAGAATAACTGATGCTACTCAGTGGTGTATCTTTAGCCTATATGACCACTTCTGTCTTTTATACCTACAGTAATGTCATTCACAATACTATTAAATATATACATTACATATAAAATAAGTACAATTAATACTATTAATATATACATATAAAATAAGTACATAATGTCCAGTTTGTTCATATTATATACCTATATGTTATACATATATGTATGTATATAGTTCCTTCAGTTTGTTCACATTTAACTTGGGTACACCATCCTTAAAAATGTCTAAGTAAAGTCAGTTACAGTTTGTTAAATCTGAAGTCTGACCTTTAGCCTTTCATTTCATTCTCAAATGAATGCACTCCCTCGGTGTAATGTTCTGGTCAGCTTTGGAGGCACTGGTTGCTAAGGTTGAATTGAGATGCCTGGGCTGATAGGACACTATTGACAAGACTGCATCATTTATAATACCTGTGATGTAAGATTTGAGTTGGGTCCAGATAATTGATTCTAAAATTGTCTCTTGTTACCTCATTTGCATTTTGTGAAAAATTTTGGGCTTTCTACTAGAATTTATGTGAGTCATAGATAAGCTGTGCATAACAATAAGTCTTTGTGTTACAAAGAGGTCCAATAATTTGGAGGAAATATTATCTTGTTTTTTTATTTTTATTTTTTGGTCTTTTTGAGACAGGGTCTCCCTGTAGCCCCAGCTGGCCTGGAACTTACTGCATAGACCAGGCTGGCCTTGAACTCACAGAGATCTGCCTGCCTCTGCGTCTAGAGTGCTGGGATTAAAGGTACACACCACCACGCCCAGCATGATCTCGTTGTTTAGGAACATAAACACTATGGTATGCTGAGTGATACAAAAATAACATGTTTTATTTTGGTGCCAGGCTCAGATTGTGTAAGTGGAGCTCATCAGCATGCTTGTAGGCCATGCTCTGATTGGGTAGTGTATATTTCTGTATCCTGTTTCCCTCTTAGGTCTTGTGAGCTGCTGATGGATTTTTTTTTCCCCAGAGTTAGTGTCTTCAGAATTGCTGAGTTTCTTTCTGTCTTTGTTTACTCTGCAAAGGAATGTCCACATCTTCTTTCCAGTAGTGAGCATTACCTTGTTTCTGGTTGGTGTGAAATCAGGAAACACAGTTCTAATTTATATCACTTTGTCCAATTCCATCACTAGGCAGGCTGAGGCAGGAGGATTCCAGGTTGCCCACCAGCTTGAGCTACATTGGAGGTACTGTGTCTCAACCAACAAAACAAAAACTGTGAACGGTGAATGAAAATAATTTACAAAATTTATTTATCTCTAGTCTTAGGCCAAAGGAAATTGTAGAAATGTAGTTGGATTGGCTGAAGGCTGTATATTTTAAATGTAACTTATTTTATAGATATTTTCTAATTAATCTATTATCTCAGTATAGATTTTCTTTTAACTATACAAAGGGAAAAGTTTTGGTTTTAACTAAAAGAAGCTCTTAGCCATCTATAAAGAAATTAGACAGTAGTTTATCTTAATTCTTAAATTTTTGGTTTCTAATGTAGTCAACAGTGTAAAAGCTTTGAGGCCTAGATTATTATTTTTTATTTCATGCACAGTGAAAAAGATGAATTAGTAAGGGATAAACATAGTATTAACATTAGGTAGTGAGACCACTTGTGAAAATGGTACACTTCGGGGAAATGATTCATTTTCATACATAAGTCCAAAGTCTTTCATGTTTATTTGCTCTAGCTCCTTTTCTGACCAAATCCTAGAGCTGAATTCTAAAGTGGACCTGTTGGGATCAGTACTTCTTTTTCCACAGTCATCAATTTAAGAGAGCCTTCCAGCCTTCTTGAATGTACAATAATTAGAAAATTGTTCTTTTGTCATGAGTCCTATTTTATAGTTGACTCCATGAGCTGTCAGATTTTTAAACTTGCAGTCCCTGAGGGCATGTAGGCTTTTTAAACTCTCATGTGTGGTTTTCCTTGATGTTATTTTATAGACACTTTTGCTGCTAGAAGCTGTATGTGTTCTTTCTTTTTATACACACCTGAGTGTCCATAAAGTAACACCAGGAGAAAATTAAGTATTAATTTGATGCCTTCAACTTTTGGGGTAACTTGGTAATAAATCTTTCATATTCCAAAATAATGATGTAACCAGTAAAGATCATGTGTACATGACACACGTATGTGCTTTTCCCTATAATGATTGGCACAACAGGTCCTTGCAAGGATTACCTTTTTTTGGATTGCAATAAATGGCTGTTATTTATAGTCCTTGGCATTTATTATCAGAAAAGAGGGAGATCTTAAAATTTCTAGGATTTTAAAAAATGTCATTTTATGGGCCTGGAGAGATAGGTCAGTGCTTAAGAACACATGCTCCTCTTACAGAGGCCAGGTTCAGTTCCCAGCACCAAGATGGCAGCTCAAAACCACCTGTTGCTGCAGTTTCAGAGGCTCTGATGCCCTTCTCTGATCTCTGAGGGCATCAGGAATGCAATGGTACACATACGTAAATGCAGACACTGACACACACACACACACACGCAATAAAAAGTAAATAGCTGGGTATGGGGGCACAAGTCTTCAATCCTGGCACTTGGGAGACAGAGATTGAGGCCAGCCTGGTCTGCATAGCAAGTCCAGGCCAGTTGGGGCTACAGGAAGACCTTGTCTCAAAAATAAATAAGCAAACAAAAAAGAAAGAAAAAGTTAATAAATCTTTAGACTGAAGAGATAACTAAGCTGGCTGTTCTTGCAGAGGACCCAGGTTCGATTCCCAGCACCCACGTGATGCCTAACTGTATGTAACTCTAGCTCCAGGGATCCTTCCCCTTCTCCTGGCCTCTGGGAGCACTGCATGCATGTGCCCTTACATGCATTGCAGGCAAAACACTCATACACATAAATTTAAAAAACAAATTAAGTAAATAGATCTTTTAAAAAATGACATTTTAGATACACAGGATTGTTAGGAGGTCCTGGGTTGTGCTGTGTGCATGTCAGGCACTCAGTGACCACCCTTCTACCCCATTAAAGGCACTTATTGGGAATTGGCACATTATTATCTTTCTGTGGGGAGAAATAATTTGATCACTTCATCTTTCAGCACTCAGCCCTTCCCTGATATTAATAAATACTGTTTCATGTTGCTTCAACTTGTGCCTCTCATATCTTCTCCCTGTCATGTCCAGCTGTCTCTAGGGAAGTGGTGATGGGCATTTAGGGGCCATTCTTAAAGACTTGAAAACGTATTGGGTCATTTTCATGTCTCTGGGGAGTTGGAGGTGCTGGGGACACACTTTGAAGTAAAGTGTTTGATTTTTATTTTAAAAATTTGATTAAATTTGTTCTTTGACAATCTCATACATATTATGTAGTGCATTCTGTTCACTCTTACCTCCGCTGTCTTTTATCCCTGTCTTCTCTCTTCCTGCTTGCAGGTCCTTTCCTACATTCATGTTTAGTTTTGCAACCCATGGGTTTTAACCAGGAAAGTCTGTGTGACTCTGCATTTGTAACTAATTGTTGGAGTCTTGTGGGCTCCTTACTGGGCACACAACTGATAATGTTCATTCTTGGCATGAAGATGTCACTGATAAATGATCTGTGGTCTTTGATCACCGAGAGCTCTGAAGTTGGTTCCCTGGTCCCTGTGACTCTGGCATTACTGTGCTTTGCTCTGAGTACCTCCTTGCTTTCTGGCACTGTAAGATGCTCCAGGCTCATGCTGTAGTTTTCCTGCCTCAGTTTTAGTTTCTGCAAGGATTGTTCTGCAGTATTTATACTTTGCCTTGAAGGAGTTGTTCTGATCATGTTTTACTTCATTTATTTGGAAATAATAGGTACAGTTTGCACTCAAATTTTAATTCCAAGTGCAAGTGAACAGTTTTGCCTTCCTTGAAGACTGCAGACAAGGAAAAATAAAATGTGAACAGAAGTTGTGGACCATACTAGAATTTGAGTTGAATAGTATACAGCCAGCAGCCTCTGTAACTACCACTTTTCCTGTATAGCATGTCAGATTGGCAGGTGGCCTGTCTGTTTCCATGTCTGAATGTTTAAGTGATGCAGGGCTCAAAAGGGTGGCAGGTCTCCTAATAGGGTAATTCCTGGAGTGATTTCCTTGTGACTTCCTCCTCATATCCTTCACCTGAATGAAATTTACAAAGGTAGGGTTCAGTCGGAATGAAGAAAGACTCTTTTAGTTGTGAAGAAAGAGGTTAATTTTTTGTTGTTGTTTGGAAGAATTCATGTGGGGAAGCTGGCACAAACTCTTGCTAGTTAATATTTTACCTAGCTTGTTGTATGCAAAGGGAATACAATGCAAACGTGATTAACTGGATGCCTGTCAGGAATATGAAGAGCCACCATTTAAAGACATAATCTCCTTTTACTTATCATAGTTTACATTTGGCCCTGGGCAGCTATTGTACCGAATGCACACATTTTCTCCTTTTAGTCTTGTTTGGAAAGAGCAAGTGACTGATGGTACCTTTTAAAAAGTAATTCAAAGGAAACAAGTCTGAAGATAGATTCTTAGAGGAAAAATAAGAATCTCTGCTTGTATCCAAATTCCAAATGTGTGATTTTTTTTTTTCTTTACTCCTTTTCAAACAACTAAGGTGGAAGTCACAGAATTCTGAGAATAAATCATATTTGATTGCACTTTGGAGAGTAATACAAGTAACAAGATAATCTCTAAGAGCTTCTCTCCGTTCTTTTTCTCCCATAGACTGGTTGTAAACTGTTGAAATTTAAAGTCATCAAAAAGTAGACTCTGCATACAGCTATGATTCGGTATCATTTTAGGGAATTTTCCTATGATTATTATTTGATTTGCTTTTAGGTGAAAACTTTTTTGCTCTGTAGCCTGGACGAACTCGGAACCTCTTCCCATGATGCTGTATGTGCACAATGGTTATTAGACAACCTATCTACCAGGAGAAGAGATATTCTTCTATAAGGTAAGATGACTAAGGACCATCAGTCATTTGTTCTATTTTGAGGAAAAATTCATTTTTAACTTTTACTTTTCTCTTTGAAATCTCCTAATAAATTGGCTGGGGGAGTAGCTCAGTAATAGAGTACATACTTAGTGTGCATAAGGCCCTGGGTTCAATCTCTAGCACAAGAGAAGAGAAATGAATGGATAAAATAATTATTAAAAAATAATTTATCCTACATATAGCACTCCCTAAAAGAAAAGGGTATTTTTGTTTAGATATTGCTTCAATCTTTTTCTTACGTAGTAGACTTCCTTTAAGTGCCAAGATAATCCTCCTATTTAGAAATACTCTGAGGGGCCTAGGGAGATAGGCTTCATGGGTAAAGTGCTTGCTGAACAAGCACGAAGACCTCAATTTGGATCCCCATGCCAAAGTTGGGCATGGAAATACATAGCAGTAACCCCAGCACTACGGGTACAGAGACAGGTGGATCCTGTGAGCTTGCTCTCCAGCCAGGCTAGCCAAAATGGTGAGCTCCAGGTTCAGTAAGACACCCTGTCTCAAAATAATAAAGTGAAGAGCCCAGCACTTGGGAGATAGAGGCATGCGGATCTCATGAGACTGAGGCCTGCTTGGTCTGCATAGAGAGTTCCAGGCCAGTTGAGACTACATTGCAACCCTTTCTCAAAAACAACAATAGCAACAACAAAAAACACACAAAAAATGAAGAGCTATAGAGGAAGACACTCAAAACATACTCTCCTCACACACATACTCTCACAGAACACTCTGGGCCAGTGTTACATACCTGTAATTCCAGCATTTGGGAGAGTGAAGCAGGAGGATCAAGAATTCAAGGCCTGCTTAGGCTACATAGCAAGTTAGGAGGCCAGCCTGCTCTAAATGAGACTGCTCTAAAAGAGACTGTCTCAAAAACAAACAAAATAATCATTCTGTTAAAGATGATGGCTCTAAGTGGACAGCAGAAGCTTTCATTAATAGATTCTGCTGATTTTTGACATTTTCTCTTTAAATTTTTTTTTTTAATTTTGTGCGTATGAGTGTTATGCCTGCATGTAAGGAAGTGCATCTGTGTCGTGCAGTGCCTGAGAACAGAAGAGGCTGTCAGATCCCCTGGAACTGGAGTTAGGACAGTTGTTAGCTGCCATGTGGGTGCTGGGATTCGAACCCAGGTCTTCTGTAAGAACAGTCAGTGTTCTTAACCACTGAGCCATCTCTCCAGTCCGACATTTTCTCTTTTAACACTGAAATTTTCTCTGAGGAAATAGCGATTTGTAGCAGTAGCTTGATATTTTTGAATTACTTCACTTAGTGATAGTTCAGAGTATGTAATGACATCATTTTTTTAAAGTATAAAACCACATCAGATGTTTGTGTTCTTAGGCTGTGATGGCGCTACCTCTAAGCTGGGCTTAGTTTACTTGTCCTAGTCCATCATGAGAAATTTGGCAAGAAAAATTATCCTGAGCTGTCCAACTGTCCAGCCTACTTATGAGAACACAATTTTTTTTTAGTCTTTTTTTTTTTTTTGGTCTTTTTTGAGTCAGGGTCTCCCTGTAGCCCCAGCTGTCCTGTAACTCACTATGTAGACCAGACTGGTCTCGAACTTACAGAGATATGCCTGCCTCTGTCTCTGCCTCTGCCTCCTGAGTGCTGGGATTAAAGATGTGCACCACCATGCCTGGCTTTTTGAGAACACAATGTTTTCAGAAGGCTTTGGCACATAATTTTTAATTTTTATTTGTAGAAATGGAAGCTAGTAATTAGGAGATTAGTCTGATCTCTTCTTTCAAGTCAGCCCAGTTGGAATGCCTTCCTTGAAGTTCGCTAGTTTAGGTTTCTGTATATATTTCAAAGCTTAAAAACACACAAAAACACGTTTGCCCACTCATATTTGAGCTATTTCACCATTTTACTTTGGACTTTCCTGTTTGCCTAAGGACCATTTCATTCTCTGTTGGCTGTGAGGACACATTTCTTTGGGGATTCTATCAGATTATGGGAATTCTCAGCACTACTTTTTCATTAAAATAATTGTATCATGTGGTTAATCAACAAGTTATTTATCTTGCTATTTTGATTACTTATGAAGTAAAACTTCTGGGAACAGAAATTAATTTTTTTTAAAAAAAAGAAGTCAGAAAAGGAGAGGGTGGTACACGACAATCAAATAGCCTGAAGTGGGAAACCTGAGAGAAAGCAACGAGAATAGACACACAGAAGAGTAAATATCGGTTTTACTCCAGTTTACTTTACCCAGCCCTCAGTCTTTCACACCTTGAGTTAAAAAATAAGAAGCTCAGCCTAAAGATTTTCTTTCTTTTTCTTTTGAATCTCGTTATAATTGTCTTTAGCCTTCATAGTATAATGGATTGTTCTCTGGTATTTCATATTTATTACCTCTGACTTGTGATAGAATCCTTGAATAGTTTGTGACATAACTGTCCTTCATGATGCACATATAAATCAGAATTCCCAAGACAAGTACTAATCTGACCCCTCTGGTATTTGTTATCTTTTAGCTTCATGATGCTACCCTCTCATTTTACCTAAAATAAAGCTATGATGGTCATAGTTAGTTTTGAGTTTTCAAAAGGCTATGAAAGAGATTTTTCTGTTCCAAGAATTCAGGGATTTATGCCTGGCTTTCGCTTTTAAATAATTTATCATCTTAATGCAACCGTCAAAAGTTTGGGTCTTAACATATGCAAGTTAACCAGTAGTATTGAGCTGTCATTACTGATTTAGCAAATGCACAGCTCTGTGGTGGTCAGTGGACACAGTGTCAGGAGCCACATACTCTAAATTACATGTGTTTTACCTTCCCTGGAAGGCTGATTCCTGTGACCTAATGACTCATTGGTGAAAAGTGGACTCTGCTAGGATGTTACACCACCACTGTCGGAGGAACCCTGAACTCCAGGAAGAATTGCAGATTCAAGCTGCAGTGGCTGCCGGGGATGTTCACACAGTACGGAAGATGTTGGAGCAAGGCTATTCTCCCAATGGCCGAGATGCTAATGGCTGGACTCTGCTTCATTTCTCTGCAGCAAGAGGAAAGGAGAGATGTGTTCGAGTATTTCTAGAACATGGAGGTGAGTTTACTAGACTAGTTTTTAATTGGAAAGGCACTTGTGCACATATATGTACAATTTATAATGCTTCCCTTCCATTAATATTTGGCATCTTATCCCCTTTGTGAAGATTTTGTGTATGAAATGCTGAGTTTTGTTTCAAACCAGATTGTTAGAAAGATAAGTTTGTTAAGTGAGCTTTGTTCCTGGCATTTGTGATTTCTCCAGGCAGTTGGGCTTTCTCGAGTTACTTCAGCTAGGAGCCCTTCTTGAAGCTGGTAGTCACTTGTGTATCATCAGCACAGGCTTTCTGTTTTGAGAATTGCTCAACCAGGGGTACCTAGCACAGATTTCCTTAAACATCTTGGCCTACCCATCCTTTGTGCATTGGATTTACCTTCCTTTTTATCTCCTGTGCATTCTTTTTTCATTGTTTCAGAGTACTTGCTTTTTCCAGAATTGTACAGTTTCTAGCTCTGCTACAAGAATTTTTTTTTTAATATTTATTTTTATGTGTATGAGTGTTTTGCCTGCATGTATCTAAGTGTACATACATGCAGTGCCCTCAGAAGCCAGAAGAGGGCATTGGATCCCCTAGGACTAGTGTTATGAATTGTTGTTAACCTCCATGTGGGTCCTGGGAACCGAACCTGGATCGGTTGCAAGAGCAGCCAGTGCTCCTACCTGCTGGGCTATCTTTCCAGCCCCAAGAAGGCTGGGTTTTTGAGGTTTGATTGCATATAACTATGTGTGGTTGGAAACTGCATTTGCTTTTATACTTTGGCTTCAGAAAGCTGTCCATTTCTGTGACGTTTTGAAACTAGTAATTTTAAGCCAACTTACTCTTCTCTCTAGTTTCATATCAACTTCTTTCTTACCCTAAAGATATTTTTGTTTCTGTGCATGCATGTATATCTATATATCTATGTATAGATGTCATTCAAACACTATATGTATTATGCTATAAAACAGCTTGGTTGAGACTCAAGTCATCCCCATGCCATTCTAGGCCCTGAATTGTTCATTAGCAATGACTTAGTTTCATACCTAGAGTGTAATTGCTATGAGAGTGGCCACACTTGCTTGCATTCTGAAGTACAGAAAAATTTCAGAAGTCCACGGTGCTCATGCAGGTTATGTGAATTATGTGACTGTGAATACCAAGGCCAGGTTTATTGACTAGCTGCAGGGTGAAACTAAACTGAGTTTCACCCTGAGTGAGTAATTATGTGTCTCAGGAGCCCTGGAATGGGAACTGTATACCTCAATTCCTTGGTTGTGGACAGAGTCCAGAAACTCCATGGCTTGCGCCTGCACATAGCTCATAGCTTCTTTGATTCATTTCACCTTACACCTTGTAGACTTCAGTTCTGACATTAAAAAAAGGGTAACATAAATGCCAGGGAAAAGATGGAGGGCATAGACTCACAACACTTAAAATTCTGTCTGTACTTGGTAAAATTAAGGCCAAGGGCAGAGCTCATATGTGTTTATTTCACCTAGTCCTGCTACCTTCCACTTCTGTCAGCCTCACTCGGAAAAATAAGTTCAGTTATTCAGTTAATGCCTAAATATTATCTCCTTAAAACAAATAAAGCAATCTTTAAATAAATTGCAAATAGAGCCCAATCCTGCTTGGGCTGCCCAATTCTTGCCTGTTACTACTTAGAAAAGTCCACAGGCATGAGTGAGTTCAAGTTCTTACCTTTCTAGATAATTCCTAATGCTCTTGTAGAAATTGTATTGTGTGTGGTTTGTAAACTAAGTATCATACTGTCTTACTATTCTACAGTTGTTTTTCAGTCAACTGTATGACAAAGTTTTTGTTTCTTCTACGTCGGGTCTGCTGTTGTAATATGAAAGCAGTCAGAAAACATGTAACTGGTTTTCCTGTGTTTAAATAAAACTATAAAAACAAGTGATAGGGCAGAAAAGGAAAACAAATGATGATTCATATTTGACTCAAGGGCCACAGTTTCTAAACACCTTCTGTCTCCCTGTCTCCCACCTTGTGTGTGTATAACTAATGAAATAATTCACAGGACTAAGGGTAGCTATATGGTGGAATGTATGTCTAGCATGCATGAGGCCTAGAGTTCAAGCCCTGGCCCTCCAAAATAAGAAAAAAGTCAGTGGGGAAGGTGTTCACAAATGACGCACTCACTCATAGTGTACAATGTCACACCAGCTAGTGCATTTATAGTAGGGTGTCTATTGCTACAGTTAATTTTGGAAATAACTGTCATTCTTTCAGAAAGAAACCTCATATAAGTTCTGTTATTAATGCATACAGATTTCTCCTATTCTCTTTAGTATAGTATTTGTTTATATAGATATACTACCATTTGTTTAATGTTTGTTTTTTGGTCTTTTTGAGACAGAGTCTCTATAGCCATAGCTGCTCGCTGTGGAGTCCAGGCTGGTCTTGATCATTCAGAGATCCACCTGCCTCTGCCTCTCGAGTGTTGGGATCAACGGTGCGCACCACCACACCCGGCTCATTTTCACTTTTTAGAGAACATGACATTTTGTCAGCAGATTTTATGTTTGAGAAGGTAGTATATGATACATGGTTAAAACCCAAGTTACATGTACTGTATGTAGTCTGTCCAGTGAGGTGGGGGAGTGGCTGTTCTAAAGTTCCAGACTCTCCTTCCCAGAGGCTGTGGTTTTCATTGGCTTCTTTTGTAGCTGCAGAAATAGGCCTAAATGTTTTCCGAAAAAGAGCTGCCTGCTCTTTTTTTATTTTGAGGAGACAGGGTCGCCCTTTGCTGTATGGACCAGACTGGCCTTGATCTCACAGAGGCGGAAAGCAGCCTCTGCCTCCTGAGTGCTGGGATTAAAGGTGTGCACCACTACCCCGCCCAACCGCTCCTCCTTTTTTTTTTTTTTTTGCAAATTTTATTATTTTTATTTTATGTGTATGCATGTATTGCCTGCATGTAGGTAAGTGCACCCATGTCATGCAATGCCCGCGGAGGACAGAAGAGGCTGTCGGATCCTCTGGAACTGGAGTTAGGACAGTTGTTAGCTGCCGTGTGGGTGCTGGGATTCAAACCTGGGTCTTCTGCAAGAACAGTCAGTGTTCTTAACCACTGAGGCATCTCTCCAGCCCCCCGCCTCCTTTTTTTAATGTTGTATTCAGCATCCTGAATTTGGCACATAACAGCTTAGTAATAGTTTCCTGTCATTACACAACTCAGTCTCAGATTCCAGGTTTGTATACAATTGATTTACACTTAACTCCTGTTGTTGAACATACGAAATTGTTTGCATTTTTCTGCTAAGGACAATATTGCAGGGAATGTCCTCAACTGATCTTTTTACCTTTATTAGAGTTTCTCTCTTGAATAATTCCTAGAAGTCTGATCTAACAGTTTTTTTATGGATACTGACAAATTGTCTTCCAAAGACATTGTAATTGCCTATGCCCTCATAGGCTGGGTGGGACAGTGCCCAGTCCCACCTCTGCCAGGTGGCTTGCTCATCCCATGTGACATGCTTGCTTTTTTTTCGCCCCTAAAAATGATGTATGAGTAACAATACATGGCAAGACCGGACTGTCTTTTTTTCTGACTCGTAGGAATTGCTCAGATGCCCTCCTCTGTCAGTTAAACGGTGCAACCATCTTCTCCCAGTTTGTAGGTTCCTCACATTCTTACAGAATGTGAGCAGATTCTCTTTTGCTTTCTCTTGTGGTTTGTGCCTTTGTGTCTTGTTAATAGTACATCATGCTGCAGAGTCAGTCACTGTTTGCCTGCCATGTTCCTCTCAAAAGATCTGTGACACTTGGATCTTCAGTCTGTCCAGAATGGGATTTTGTGTCTAAGAAGAGATGTGTAGGTACAGTTTCACCTTCTTCTCTGAAAAGGTTGCCTAAACTCTCCCTTCTTTCTTCATGGTTGTGCGCTTCTGGGTCACATACAAGTTTTTACATTTATACTTCCACTTCTGAGTTCTTATTTAGTGACCCAGGATCAAAATAATCCTACTTGTATTCTTCTGTAAGAAGTTTTATTTTTTATTTTAGTTATTTTATTATTATGTCTATCATTATCTATTTTAAATGTTTTATTTGTGTTTAGGGGTGCTGTGTGTGGGTTCCTACAGAAGGTAGAAGAGGGTGTCAGATTTCCTGGAGCAGTTGTGGGGGTGCTGGGGGAATAGCAGGCATTCTTAATTGCTGAGCCATTTTTCCAGCCACCTATAAGAACTTTTGGTGCCTTTTATAAAAAGAAAAAATTGGAACACCCCTTTATTCTTGTATCACATCTTTTATCTATCCCTTTTACTGTAATAGAAATTTGGAAAATATATTTCCTGTCAAATCATAAAAATTGTTTTGGAAAAATTAGTTATGAAGGAACCTCCCCTGCCCCCTTGGTCATGTGTGAGACTTCGATACATTCTGTATATGGTTTTCTGGTGTCTGTAAATGGTCCCGTTTGCTGTACCAAAAGCTGGCAAACCATGCTGGGTACCTTTATCCTCACTCATGTGATATGACCAGTTGCTTGATTATATGGATTCTACCTTGGAAATAGCTGTCAATTTCTTTTCACTGAGCCATTATCCCACTCTTCGGTAGGGAAACCTCTTTCCTTACCAGAACTGTAGATCTGTCTTCATCCCCCATTGTAGTATCCCTTGTCCCCAGCCAGTCTCCAAATACTATGACTGTTTTTTTCTTTTCTGTTTTTTAGATAGGGTCTCACTATGTAGCCATGACTGGCCCAGAACTGACTGTGTAGACCAGCATGGCCTGAAACTCATAGAGATGTACCTGCCTTGCCTCCAGAGTGTAATGTTGTAACATTTCCAGTAGTAGAAATGGAAACTAAAATATTTCCCTTTCAGGTTTCAGTAGGAGTTTTCCATTTCCCTGAGGATAACATTCCCCATCTTTCATGTGCTTTATCCTCTGACCCTTCCAGTTGCACCTTTGCCCAGCAGCCCCTCTGCCTTCTTGGGGTCACTGAGCTCAGAGGCTTAGTCCACATAGTTCTCTCATGGTCTCTTTT